TATATATATATATATTATAGAGAAGGGGATTGAGGTTTTCATAAATGATTTTTTCGGATTTGGACGCAATCCCTAGAGTGACTAGTGATAAATTTGAGATTTTAGCTACCGTAGCAATTCTTAAGCCTTTAGTTCCATGTATAGTTGAGGCTTCTAAATTAAAACTTAAGATCCTCCCCCTAAAGTATGTGATTTTAAGAGAATTTTTAACTTCACCCATAATTATTTCCGTTAAACTAAGTGATGTACAAGAAACAAAGTTAATGAACCAAACGTTCCTTATTAGATAATAAAATTTTGATAGAAGATAATTGTGAGTAAAAAGTTGATCCTCAAAGGAGATTTAACCCAATGATGAAGAAAGTAGTGAAGAAGGAGATTATGAGATGGATGGATGAAGGAATTATATATATCATATCTGACAGTGTATGGATAAGCCCTATCTGTCGTATTCCCATGAAAGGAGAAGTGATTACAGTGGAGAATGAAAAGAAAGAACTTATATCCACTTAAAATGTCATTGAATGAAGGATTCGTATTGACTATAGGAAGTTGATCAAATATTAGATAGATTGGCAGGACATTCTTATTTTTGCTTTTTAAGATATTCAAAGGAGATTTCTACATTGATCAACACCAATGCCAATATCACTATCAGGTGCAAGTCATTGAGGCTTTAATAGTGATAATCAAACCATACACAGTAGGGCCATAATGATATTCAGCATCCCAATGTGACAACTTTTTATTTTTATGGAGATACTGTTGAGATGATGGAGGAAGATGATGATGATGATGACAATGCAGAGGGCAGAGATGCTTGATTTTTAAGACGATACGATTTTAGTTATGTTACTGTTTTTTTTCTTTTTATTATTTTGATTGAACCTTTATGTTGTTTAACTCTGTGGATCCTTGTATTGGACTTGGATTTTTGGCATTTTAGTTGGTTGTGTTGAGACTCTGACATGTGTATAAATTATGTTTATTTTGTACTTTATTTATCCCATTTTGTATGTTTTAAATTAGGCTTTGAGAAATGTTTTGGTGTTGTGTTGCAGGATTTAGGGAAGGAGATCGAACACTGCTTGAAACATTTCTAATTGGAGCAAAGTAGTGTTGTGGCGCCTAAGCAAAGTAGTATCGTGGCACCTAGTAGGAAGGGCCGCCTGGACCCTAGGGTCGACACGTAAAGCGTAAAGTCGATGAGTAGAAACCCGCACAATGACATACCATTCTTTCGAAGAAAGTGCCGTCGGACCCAGAGGGTTATTGACTTTTCAAAATAGGATTATTGACTTTTTAAAATCATAGAACTTTGCACCTTTATACTAGATTCAAAACATTAAACAATAACTATTCCTGACTTTGGGGAGTTTGCTCTTTCCTCGTGGGAACGACCCAAGAACTCCATTTCATATATTACTTGAACGACATGTTTACTTGCATGTATCATCGATGTGTTATAGCATTTTGGTTTGTATCAAACCAAGCGCTAACTGATAGTTAAGCTTCAACATGAACCCACGAGTTAGCCACCGGACGATAAAAGCCATGGGAAATACCTTCCTTCCTTATAATACTAACAAGCTAAAAAGCAACACTCTTTTGATAATCAGTAAATTGCTCGTTTATTTTTAACTGACAAATTTTCTTATATTTATTAAAGGTTTTTAACCGTCGAAAATAATATGAATTCCTCTAATGATTGCATTAGTCATCAATCAATTAGAAAAATTAGTCATCAAGCAACAAGCGGTAGTCCGCTCTCAACTTGAGCGAAAACGTCGTCGCATTTAGATAGAGATTTGTATATTCATAATAAATACGAGATATGTGCCACCGTCCCATTCACAAAATTTAATATTTTGAGTTTTATTTTTTCAAAATTTAAATAATATAACTGTTTATTAAGAGAAACTTCTATGAAAATAAATTGACATATATTTATAACACCTTAGTTATTGAGTTCATGCCTATTTGCCATCTTCTTTCCCAATATAATCCTATTATTGATATCTGATGAATTTTATTAGCATCCAACCTTTTAGCATTTGTCGGCAGTGCTTCATGTTGTTTCAACATGTGTTGATTTAAATGAAGTAATGCGTCAGGTATTTAATGTGGAGATAGGTTTTTTGCATGGCTATTGATGCATATGTTCAATCCTCTGAATAATTTTGAACTCAATAATGGCTTTCCTACTTAAAAGGTGGAAGGCAAAAATAAATATCTTAAGAAGCCCAAACCAAAACGCTTCCTTTGAAATTCTACCAATAAGTACTGTTTGCATTCTAAATTTATAAGTATTTGTTGTAACATAGTTCTTGAAGCTGTTGTCATTGAATCCTTCTGTTATATTTTTTGCCACATTTAGAAGTATCACCTTGATCTTACAGTGCTTGTTGGAGATGGTTTAAAGCCCTAATTCTTTGGTGCTCAACCTTATAGCAATTTTCTATTAATAGAATGTGTTCTCTTGCACTTTTTTTAGCTTACGAGCTCTCATTTAAATGACATTTCAGTTAAAATTTTTTATTAATAATTTTTATTTATTGTGGATTTTTATTCATGAGTAAAAGTTCTTCATGTATCTAAACTTGTAGCTAGTTGTTGCAAAAAAACACCTTAGTTTATTCCTTGCATGTTAAGGAAGTACACAACTTGCTACATTAGCCCTTGCTAGGTAGCACAACAAAATGAGAGGAATACATCTTGAAGGCTATGTATGGCTTTCGAAAAGATGAATACGTAACTTTAAAAACTAGAATTTTGGTTTCAAAAGAACAACATATACTTTCTATAAAATGTCAGGCTCACTTGAAAACATAGCTTAAGGTATTCTTAATTAGTCTTCCTACAGTTGAGTCTGATTTGCCCCTGGCTTCCTGTGAGAGGACTGATATTTCCCATCTTCACAATTGCGGTCACAAAGTCGCTATAGAACCTTGAAGGATTCATGCTATAAGTGTTCACCAAAGAATCTGTAGATCCCCCATTAAAGAGTTGTTGGTCAAAATGCATCAATCCCTTTTTGTTCACCAAATTATTATAATAATTTTTATCGAATGTTGTGGGAGTCTGCAGATCAAGAGGAGAGAGATTGTTGTCTCCACCAGTGCTTGGACAATTGCTTTTCACAGAGGTTGCAAAGGAGGCGTCAATGTTAGTTTCGTTGTAGATACGAGTTCGAAATACAGTGCATCTTGCTTGACCAATTGTGTGAGCACCTATACACATAATGAATATTATGGTCAAGTGTAGCAGTTACAAAGCAATTATAGATAGTAAAATTGTTCTTTGAGTTTAGAAATAAGTTTATTATGTTTGTTAAGATTTTGAAGGCTTTCAAATACCAGAAAGGGCAACCATGTCATTTGTGGAGAGGCCTTTCTTGGAGAATGATGAAATTAGAGCACTGAGGTTTGAATTTGGGCTGGGAATGTCACTGTTGGCTTGGCTCAAGCTTGCTGTGGTTGAATCTCGTCTCCCAAGTTGCACTGTCCATGATGGCCCACCAAGCTGCAATATTTTTGAATACAAAGAAACTCTTAGGTATATATTTAAAAATTTTGTAGGAAATTGTATTTAAATATATAATTTTTTTTTTTATTTTTTATTTTAATAAAAATTTTTGTAAGGAATTTTTATTTTTTATTTTAACATATTTGAGATTGTCCTATTTAGTGAATAAATAAGTTGCATGCATACCACACAATGCTTATGCATTTACACATCTAACATGAATTTTTTTTCTGTTTAATTATGTTTTCGACGCTTTGGTGTCATAAAGATATACATCAGTAGTTGTATTTTATTTTTAAATTGTAATAGTTATGTTTTTGATGTTATATGCATGCAAATATGAAAGTTTTGATGTTAGATATATAAAAACGTAAGACTTCTGTGATATGCAGGTAAAAGCCCCAATAGATAAAAAGAAGTTCTACTTTATACATAACTAAAATATTATATTTTAATTGGCTAGAAAATTATTGAAATTAAACTTAATTAATTATTAAAAATGAATATTATAAAGTGCAGTCACACAAATATATTACTAGCTTGTGCTTGACACCCTCCTCCTCTAGAAGACTTTTGTTACATCTAATATCTCCAATTTCATAGTCTTCTACTTTATTTAATTTGTTAGCCGCGTGAAATATGCCTAACCACTACAAATGCGGCAAAGGCACTTGTTGGAATAACTTTAATTTGACTTAAGTGTTAAAGGTATTATCTTCAGCATGAGACTTTCACATATAATTTTACAAAAATAAATTATTTATTTACAAAATTCACCCTAACACTAAATAATATATTAGTAATAGATATTATCTTACCGCAACAACGGAGTCACGAGCCGCAACGGCTAAAAAATCAGCACATGAGACGGGCTGATTGCAGATAGCTTCAACCTGTTTCTTTATATTATCGACCACATCGAATCCCCTAATTGAGTTCTGATTTGGTCCCGCAGTCTTCTCTCCGGTAAACGAGGATGTGTCATCCAGCAAGACAGAGCCATCGCAACCCTGTTCATTTACCCCCATTTTATTAGTATAATTATCATATAAATCATCATTAGTTTAATAATGTTAATAAATTCAATGTTGTCAATATATTGATTATTTTTAATTTATTAGGTGAGCAGGTTAAACAATCCTGCATTATTAGAGAACAAGGAGAGCTATTCAAAGTAAGCTTAATTATTTAATATGTTATATTCCACTATACAGACTCTAAATAATATGATGATAATGCAAATAAAATATTTTCTTCGAATGAATATATTTATGAAAATGCGCAATTATATTAACATAAATTAATTAAGAGCTTAATGAATTAGTGATGAAATAGTTGATTAAAGCTGTACTTGGACGAAGCAGTCATGAAAATGAAGGCGGAGCAGCGACGCCCCCATACGTTTCTCATTAGCTACAGCGGATTGAACAGCAGCTTTAATGGTTGAGAGAGCGTTTGGGCAGGAAGTAGAGTAAAATGTTGGAGATAGCTGAGCTGAAGCTGCTGCTGATAATATTAACAGCAGAGCAATGAACAGAGAAGAAGAAGAGGTGGTTAGAGAGAAAGAGCAAGCCATTTGTATGTGGGTTTGAGAGAAAGTGAGAAAATGGAAGGTGGAAGCAGAAGTTGCTACTGAGTTTATGAGGAAGATGGCTCTCCCGGGGCGTGTATTTATAGTGCAGGCAGACAACGTGCTAAAGAATTAAAAGAGAACAAGTCAAAGATGTGAAAACACACTTAGGTCTGCGGCCGACATAATGGTGATATCTTACTATATATGCCACTGGTTCTAAAAATGTTATTTTGAAAAAAAACAATATTAAAATGAGGCATTATGATTTTCATGCTATATTTTATTTAAATGTTTTAAATAAATAAATTTGTAAATATTATAGATATCATCAGCATTTTTATATTGTAAATAAATTAGCAAGTAATTGTATGATTTAACTAATAGATTAAAATTATTATTCTAATGTGTGTGTGTGTGTGTATTTTTTTTTTTTTTTGAGATTAATTTTGGGGATTTTTATCACAAATGGTTAAAAATCAAAACTCTTCTGCCCTAAATTTTTTATTTTTTTATTGTATGTTATTTAGTTTTTCGTCGAGGTTGAGATTTTTGCAATGATATGCTAGCTCTTAACCAAGTTATATTAAGGGCCCGTTTGGGGCAGCTTATAAGTGCAGATGACGTTTTCAAAACGCCGCTGTACTGTTTAGTTCGTGCGTTTTGTCAGCTTATCCGAAATAGCGTTTGGGTTTTTACACTAAATGTAGACCGCGGGTCGAATCCTGCAGGCCTCCCATGAGCTGCGTTTCAGGATAAGCAGCTTATCATGAGACACACAAGCTACCCCAAACACAACCTAAGAGCTTGTTGAGTGCTTTTAGTTTGATTTGACTTGTTTTTAGTGATTTTTAAAAATTATCTTTAAGGATTTATTATATAATTAGAACTTTGGATTCTAAACCTTGCGGTTTTGTATCTTCCATGGTTAAATATTAATGTGATTTTATTATCCTTGTCAATGTGAAAAAGGGAAATATATTTACATACCACACAATTCTTATGTATTTACATATCTGAAATCTAAAGTTTGATATTTATACTTATAAAATTTTGATGTCATAAATTTATACATCAAAAGTCTTATTTTGTTTTTTTTAAGAAAATAACATTTACAAGCCATATATATGTGGTCACATTGACAAGATTAATATGAAAGATATGCCTTATAGTTATGTTGGATGTATTATTATTCAAACAATAATGGTCAATTATACGACTAAATTATATGCTTGTGAATTATATTTTGACATGAATTGTTTGATTGTGCATGTATATCAACAACTTACAAAATATTTAAATTTCAAGGTTGTATGACCCCAAAATGTAGCATAAAACTGAATATTATATATCAGTATTTTATTGCCTGCAAGAGAATCGATCCTGATTGAGAAGATTTATAGAGAGGAGACAGAGAAGAATATCTGGAAAAGGATTAATTCCCTTGCACATTGATATTACATTGGATCAGGTTATATAGAACCTGGCGTGACATACTTGTAATTTACATGCAAGGGTAAGATAGTATATATATATATATATATATATGTATATGTATATGTATATGTATATGTGTGTGTGTGTGTATATGTATATGTATATGTATATGTATCTACATATACATATACATATGTATGTAGATATGTGTATGTAGATTTACATATACATATGTATGTAGATATATGTATGTAGATATACATATACATATGCATTTAGATATATGTATGTAGATATACATATACATAGATGTATGTATGTATGTATGTATATGTATATGTATGCATATGTATATGTATGTATATGTATGTATATGTATGTATATGTATGTATATGTATGTATATGTATGTATATGTATGTATATGTATGTATATATATGTATATGTATATACATACACATATATACATATAGATATCTACATATATGTATACATATAGATATCTATATACATGTATACATATGTATATATAGATCTACATATATATATACATATACATATATATACAGATATATATACATATCTATATCTACATATATATAAATATCTATATACATATCTATATCTACATATATATATATATCATATATATATCTACTATATATATATATATATATATATATCGCAGAAGCTTTGAGAAGCCGCCGAATGATGTCCTAGACGAGTCCAGAGCGGACTCCGACAAAGTTGCAGATAAGTTCCTTTTACCCTCTCTCAAGTGAATAATCAGGATGACATTTTGAAAGCTTGCTTGTAAATAATTTGTGACAAGCAATAGAAAGAGATTCAGTAAGAATATCCTCTAGTTGATCTTCGGTCATTACATGGTAGAGATCGATGTGTTGTAGCTTAAGGTAATCATGAATAAAATGACAATCAAGCTTTATATGTTTAGTCCAGGCATAAAAGATTGGGTTATGCAGTAAGGTGATAGTTGACGTGTTGTCACTGTATAGCATTGTTGATTTTGGCATGATTTAAGATAGGTCGTGAAGGAGTCATCTAAGCTAAATAATTTCAACAGTTGTTGTAGCTAACACCCTGTGCTCTACCTCTGTTGATGATCATGCTATTTTTGGTTGCTTCTTAGAACTCCAAGAGATTAGATTATGACCAAAATAAACACAGTAGCCAGTGATAGATTTTTTTATCATCCAAATTACCATCTCAATCCGCATGAGCATATGCATACATTTCAAGTTTACCAGATTTAATAGGTAACCCATAAGTTAGTGTATCCTTAAATATTTGAGTAGCCTCTTTAGCATTTGAAAATGTTTGAGTATTTGGATTATCCATAAATTGGCTTAAAAGATTAATTATGAACGTAATATCGAGTCGGGTTACCATTAAGTATTGCAATTAACCAAGCAACTGTCTATAGTTGTGTGGATCAGATAATGGCAAGGGATTGTTATTAACGATATTGGGCTTTGTAGACAAAAATGTGAAAACATACTTGGAATCAAGCATGTTTGGATTTTTTAGTATCTCAGTTGTGTAATGTGTTTGATGCAAGAAATAATCATCATTTGTTTTGTTTATTTGTAATCTCAGAAAGAGAAAAGTTGATTGAGTCATTTAAATTAAATTGAATGCTAAGATTATTAAGTAATTGATTAATAATTTTTTTCATTATTTTCCGTCATAAAAATATCATCAACATATATGAGAAGGAAGATTCTATTATGCTCATGCTAATAAATAAGTAAAGAGTGATTTGCAGTACTTAATGTGAATTTTTGATTGAGAAGAAATGAAGAAAAAGTATGGTGCCATTTTCTTGGTGCTTGTTTCAGCCCATATATGGTTTTTTATAATTTGCATACGTAATTGGGATATTGATTATTAATAAACCCTAAGGCTTGAGACATTTATGTGGTATCTTCGAGTTTACCATGTAAAAAAGCGTTGGAAACGCCCAATTGATGAATATCTCAATTTTATTATAAGAAAATGTAAAATAATAAATACAATGAAAAAATATATAATAATCTAATGAAGCTAACCTAACTAAAGAAATTCTCAAGTGAGGAGGGGATAATAATAAGTGATTAAGTCATATACTCTTCTTACATAATTTAGTTCTTGTTATAAATCATTTACAGTCTAACACTCAAACAAATCAATGATCTAGTTTTCTCTATACATAAATGTATTACATTTTCTTGGGTTTTTTTGTGAAAAATATATAAAGAAATCTTCAAGTCTTACAACATTTGATTATGACTTGAAGTCAATGGTAATCACAAGCAAGCATATTTTCTTTTATCCTTGTTCAAATACAAGAAAGTATGATTTCAATTATTTTTCTTATATACAAGTTGGTATAATTTATTTTTTTATATGAAACACACTCTCATGTTGAGTAATTATCATTTATCAATAGAGGGGTGGGCCTAGTGTTAGGATGGTATTGACTTGTTAGTGGTGTTCACTATTTAGGGAACAAATTAACAAAAATTTTATATTGTTCAATAACATGAAAATTACTAGATTTCAATGTTCTATTATATATACCAAATAAGGAGAAAAATAGAGGGAATAAAAAATTATAAATTTTACCAAAAAAATAAACATGTCATCATTTACTTAGAAGGTTACTTGATGTTGAAGTGTTGGCCTCCTTGATTTTGAAGTGCTTGTCCTTGATGTTGATTAGTTTCTCCTGATTGTGTTATCTAGGTAATTATAATTTGTACTCCTAGGTGCCCATGGCTTTACTAATAATATGTTGAAGGTGTAAAAGAGAGTACATTGATTGGAGAAAGCTCAAAGCTTGTGATGGTACATATTTAAACATGAAAAGTTCAAATATTGTAAACTTGGTGTTAATTAACCTAGTGATAGATTAACACTAGTCAAGGTGGTTTTAAAAAGGTTATATAGTTTATATTGTGGACAATTGAGAGATATGAAAGGGGTTATGTGCTTCAATTTGTTGAGGGAATTTGAGGTATGGTGGCTATGTTTGTGGAGTAGTAATAACATGAAAACTAGTAAAGGGAGAAAGAGGGTAAGCTTTGATTGAACTTAAAAGAGGAAAAATATTGACAAACTAATGTATGAGTGTTTTGGATCCAACACTAAGCCTCTTCAAGTTCTTCAGTAGTAACCAATCATTTTTTGAAGAGTTTTAAAGAAGAAATATTGATTTTATAGAAAATTAATTGAAGTAAGAATATATGACTTGTTTTTTATTGGCCGAAAAATTTCACTTAAGATGTCACTTAAGATGCATTAAATAAATATTAGAAGATATCCATTACAAATGCCTTGGGCTATAAATGAACCAATGCACTTGATGAACAACATAACCTTCACTTGATTAATACTCGATCATGTTTGTTCAAATTAGAATTTTAAGCTAAGTATTAATATATATATGAAATCTCAGCTCTAGCTCGAGCTACCTATCAATACTTAGGTATGTTCCAGGTCTCGAAATTGCCAATTTGAACACCAGCATCATTCCATCATAATACTAGTACTTGCTTTGACTACACGAGGCACTTTCAACCAGCAAACCATCCACACCACACCTATGTATGATCACAC